TGCCGGTGTTGATGCTGTGTTAGCGCCTTTGCTGTAACCGTTGTAGTCGACAACAACGGCCTAGTACGGCACTAGCACCATTTAGTTATGTTGATTCTGAAGCATCCAGTTGACAGGAAGCAGCATTGCTGCAGTATGTCTGTTGTGGTTGTCCGGCGCTTTGAACCGCGATTAAACAACTTGCTAAAACGGCTTTTTGACCACATTTTTTTTTATTTCTAAGGAAGACCAAAAGTTCACACATTTTTTCATCCAGAATAGTGGGATCAGTCGAAATCGATTTAAAAAAAAAAAAAAGCGATAAAAACTTTTCAGCATTCTTGTTTCTATGTTCATAAATAGCTTTTATTTAACGCCTAAAAGACCAGAGGTTAACGAACGTCAGCGATGTGTTTTTAACCGACAGCTGCCGACCAATTTAGTGTCCCTAATCTTACACACATAAATATATATTTTTTTACACCGCTCAAAGAGCAGACTGAATAAGAAACTTTGGAAGTTTGTGAAGCCGTTTAGGTACATGCGCCTATATCAGTTTTTACATATTCACGCTTTTTGAACATATAAATAAATAAATAACTAGGTATATATACTGTATTTATATTTATATTTATATTTACATCAATATTTATCCTTATATTTATATCTATATTCATATTCATATTTGTATTTATTTTTATACATATATAATTGTCTTTTGATTCAGTGGCATTTGATAATTGACTGCCATCCTCAAATTACAGATTGCATCTTGAAAAGAAAAAAAAAAAAAAAGAAATACAAACTCGATTATTGAGATTTCGTATTCCTCAAGAGAATGGCAGAAAAAAATTGTTTTTGTAAGGAATTATTATTTCAAACATTTTTAATATAACGTACAGATGTTTGAGCAAATCACTGACTCAATAGTTTATTTGAACTTATTTTTTAACACTTGATTTAGTGATGCTAAAATAGTAGCAGAAAACGTAGAAGTGAAAAAAAGAAGAAACTTCCTCTAAATGACAATCAAGCGTTCCTTTTTTTTTTTTCAGCATTAACAAAAGTGTTGTAAATGCAGAGTTTATAGAAACAAACACCAAATTATTCCATGAATCATCCACATTTTACCCTCTCCCCTTTTTCTGCGTCACTACAGATTCTACATTTGAATCAGAGCCAAAAGTTTTGCAATTTCAGCACTTTTTATTCGTGAGCAACTTCTAAAAATGATTTATCTCGGTTAGAGCGGTATTTTAATTTATAACAAAATACAGAGGAAGAAAAAGCAATGGAACAAAAGGAGAGTCACACCTCTATTAGACTGCGTTGCGTTCTGATGCACATCTTTGGCAATTAACGAATACCCGTAAACTGACGTTATTTGTGAGCCCACTGAAACATAGTTGATGGCTTAACTATCGTTCCTCGACTCTGAGCACTAATGCAGCCTTCTTTCGATAAACATCATGTATTTTTGCGAAAAAAAGAAAAACGGCTTTGTAGTTTTATAAATTCAGTACTCTAGAAATGCTGCTGAAACGAAAACAGAAAAAATCCTCTCTGTTCCTATTCTGCTTAAACTAATCCATTATAAGCTATGCGTGTAACAAAAAAATGCGTCAGTATCACAAACGAATAAGAACCGGGAAAAAATTTTTTTTGAATTCTGTCTACACTTCTCATCTTTAACCACTTGAGAAAATACGAATAAGTCCATCGAACAATAATAGCGGCAACAACATAACCTACACAGCTAAAAGATTAAGGCGTCAGAATAACAGTGCCAATATCGGCTTTTTTACTAGAAGAAACTGACTAATACGGCCCTCCGTTTGATAAGCATCGACATCTCAGCGCCAGAAACAAACACGCAATAAACTTCGAATACACAGATCAATAAAGGCATCATCGTCGCTGTTAAGCCAGTGAAGTACAAATTAAAAAAAAAATTATGCTTATATCACAGCAAACTGCAAACGCCACTGCAGGAAGTAAAAAGACATTTAAAAATAAGCTCATAAGAAAAAACCTTCATCATGCCGCCGACTAGCAAAAAAAATTGCTTACCAAATCCTGGCAAACAGCCGGCAAAGAAGCGCACGACAAGCTGCAACTTCTAACATCTTAATTTCCGTAATATCCTCCGCCTCACTTTGTCAACAACTACAGTAGAGAAAACCAATCAGATTCAAAAAGAAAAGAACTGCACAAATACCAAAGATTTAAAGTACCAGGTATTTATTATTTTAACATGTTAACAATTGACAGGGTTCAATAAAACGTCTGTACAACCTACACCCGTCACAACAGCGAAATAATTGTAGATGAACAAACGTTATAGTCATCCATGGCAACAATGCTTTAAAAATCTCACCCACTTTTAATATACAACGATAAAAACTAAATCAAAGGAGGAGGGACAAGCGCAGAAACATTATGTAAACGAACTAAAACAACAGGTAATTAGCGAAAGTAAACCATTTCAGCGATGTTTCCCAACTTTGTCGTGCCTCTTCTTGATATGCTTCGGCGTTTTGGTCAGTCTATTCTCACGTCGCTCTTCTTTGACTAACTGTTTCCGCCTCTAAAATCAAAACTATTTGAAAGTTCCAAAGAAGTAGTTGCTAAAGCAGTCCATGCAAAATCAATAAGTGTACACTAATGATTAGTAAAATAGTTATGACGAGTAAAAGATGGTTTCTTAAAAACACACAAGCTGCCAGCATTGTAAATGACTCATACTAAAAAGTGTTCTAAAAAAGGCCAGATAATGGTACCATAGGTATTCGTAATAAAAAATGTGTTAGACAAAAAGAAAAATATTTTCTATTACAACCAAAGTGCTAATGTATATCAAGCAGGGCAAAATCCAAACTATGCTCCAGAACTGTAAAACTATTTCCTGCTTCCCGACGAAAAAATTCGCCTGCTCCTTTAACAGACTTAAAATCTAGGCATAAAATAAGTTAAACGGTGCAAACGAATCTAAAGACAGCTTGAAAAGTGCATTTATATATGAGGTGATTATGCAGCTGCCTGCCGAAATATCTTTTCTTCCCCTAACCACCGCATGAGGCCGAAAAATAAAAGTACAAAAAAAGTTGTCTAGAGCAGTAGCTAACCTGTAAAGGATTAGAGATAAAATCCAAATCGGGGAGCGCCGTATAAAAATTAAGGGATTACAAATTACTTGAATTTGTAGCTCAAACATGATATTTGGCATAAAAAACACAACCTAAGTAATAGCTGAATACAATACTAAGCATAAGATGCATGGAACACGAGAGCAACTCCTACAGCGATTGCTTAACAACACTGTCCCAAAACCTTATTAAAAACCAGTGCATCTTAAATCAGAGACCTTGCTTCATTTCAAGAAAGTAAAAAATCATAAGATCCCTCCAAAAACGTTGTTCAAAAGCACGTTCAAAAAACAAATTTTCTAACACTTAATCAGAAATGATGTACCGAGCAGAGTATACACAAAAAAAGCGACTTGAAAAGGACTTTTAAAATCTTTTTAATCTCAATAACCGATACAGGCTTGCCCGTAAAACTTTTCCATTTTCTACAAACTTAATTAAAATTTAATTTCAAAAAATATTTTCAGCAGACTGCTACAGTCAGATAAGTTGTTCATTTTTTGAATATTTGGATCCCATATGTCCTGTTCTTTGGTTCATAGAGACTGTGATAGAGACGCTTTTGCAAACTCCTATATAAAGCAAAATCCCAAACTAAGTAGTTATTAGCACACATACAAGATGCAATGAATCTATTTTTCAAGAAATGGGCAAACAAAATCCCATCCAAAAAATTGAAAATTATACAACAAAACCAGACCTTTTTACTTTCTGGAGATTCGTTGCGATCTCTCACAAAATTAGTCACTTTCTTTTTTTTACAACTTTCATTAGTGACACCCTCGCGCGGTGGCCCAGATTGCTTCATACAAGTGGACGCGGCTTCTTCTGATGGGGACTCTTCTTCCTGCGTGAAATTTGAAATCACCAAAAAACACAAGAGAGCGATTATACTGCAAAGACGCTGGCACTTAATTACACAGAAAAAAAAATTAAAGTTCAACCAACATACTTCACCAGTTTCAGAAGAACTGCGATGTTCAATCTTCGCGAGCATAGTTTGAAAAGGATTGGGCACTTCACCTCCTTCTTTCCTGATCTCTTCATCTCTTTCAAAATACAAAACATGCTCTAGCTTATGGGCTATATAAGCGTTCATAAAAAGAGCATCATCTTCTGAGTTATCCAATGATCTAAAATGATTTAGTCTTAACAAAAAAATAAATATGCGCAGCCTTGTTCAGAACGTAAGCGGTAGGTACTGTAAACGAGAGATTCAAACCAAGCTTTACAACCTTTTATTCAACAGCTCTTCAAATTTTGCTTCATCAGCTACTCCAGGATCTGCGATAACTTTAAAAAGGTTATATAGGGATAGGACAGGAACCTAAAAAGATAAAACCTTAAATGGAACATGCTGTACTTTGTTAATAGAAGTTAGATATAAAAATGAAGAAAAGCATTAACAACTAACGCCTTTTGAACGGAAAAATTTGGTGACATTTAAACAATCAGATCGAAGGAATTGTAGCGAGTATGGATGATCATGTTCCACCGATTGAGAGACGT